AGGCTGGGAGAGAGCCGGAGTGGGTGTGCAGGATAAACAAGCCCCGTCGCTCCAGGCTCGTTAATTGTTTTTATTCATATCAGAAAACCCTGTAGGATTTTGGGGAGCCCTGAGTCGTACCGCAGAACCCGTAACTCTCCCCTTTTCCCTCTTGGGCCCACTGGGAATAGAGCGTGTGAGCGCGGTGACTACAGAAACACTGCGGTACTCAGGGCAGATTCCAAGAGCATCCCTCCTTTTTTCTCTGAGGGTAAAACGAGGAGAAGGTGGCTCCGCTGTCACTCTCACTTTCCCAGCCTCACGTGTGGCGGGAAGGCACCTCCAAACCTTTACTGGTGCTGGGAATGGGTGTGGAAAACAGTGGTCACTCCATCATATCACCCTGGAGAAATCCTTCCATTTCCTGGAGAAGGAAAGAGGGAGAAGTTAGGTGACTCCACGCCCGACTTCTTTTCGCCGCTCAGTTCTGCCGGCAGGGCTGGGGATGGCAGTAGGGGCGCAACGCCGGCCAACACAAGCCCGCTGCGAAGCCTGGTCCCTGTTTCGGGCTCCTCTGCCCTTGGGACTGACATCCCTCCCCCTTCTCCTCATGTCAGCTGGAGCAGGAGAGGCCGATCGGCATGCCTGAACCTGTCCCTTTCCCTTCACTTCCATCTCCTCCCCGCACCGCACTCTTCTCACCTTTTCTTCTTCCTGCCTTTCCCGACGGATTTCGTTTGCCTCTGCCCGTTCATCTTGCTTAAATATTTCCTTGTCGAGGCGTTGAAGATGTGGCAGCAGGACCAGGACCTCCAGCCGGTAATTGGATTCATTGGAGCATGGGTTGTCCAACAGCACCAGCGCCTGCAGCATGGGGAGGACCTGCAGTTTTGCCACCTCCCGAAGGCTACTGATCCCATTGTTCCTGAAGAAGAGGAAGCACAGAGAGCAGGGGCAAAAGACCCATCCAGGTAGTGAGATCCCTTCGGAACGGTAAGCTAACAGGACAGACAAAGCAAAACTTAGCAGCGTGATGGACTGTAGACCTTAGACCTGTGACCTAAGGTCCAGATCTGTCCGCAGTTCCCCAGACTGAGGGACAAAAAGGATATCTCCTCTGGATTTCTCTGTGCTCAAAGCAGTCCACTGAAGTGACTGATACTGCATCGCCCTGTTCGGCAAATGCCAAGAAGGGCACTTGGAATCATGTCCAGGACATGGAGAACACGCTTAGAGGGATCCAAAGGAGTTATGGCAAGGAATAAAAAGTAGGAGGTGGAGTGTAGGAGTGACTGGAGAGCCAAATCTTTTCTGAGAAAGCCTGGGAAAGGCCCTGACTGTTACACTCATCGATAACTGAGTGCTGAACACCAATTAAGGACGGTCAAGATCAACCCATCCCCATCAGGTCTTCAACTTCCAAAGAAACACAGAAATCCCAAAGATCTCAATGGGCACACAGCCTGATGAAGGGGTCTCTGATCCCCACCCGGAGCAGGGAGGACCCACCGTAGATTGAGGTACTGCAGGCACTTCATGCTACTGCAGAATCCATCCAGGGCCTCCAGCCGGTTGTCACGCAGGTGCAGGGTTGTCAGCTGCCCTAGGCCCTCAAGGCCTTCGAGGCTCCGAATGGCATTCCGGGCCTGAGCACCAGGGAGGCAGGAAGAGAGAAGGGAAAGGGGGACACAAGAGAGGGAACAGCAGTTATTTCTGCCCTTTAAAGCTCTTTCTACCCTTCAGACTCCCTGCCGCTCCTAACACAGCCTTCTCTGAAGCTAGGCCAGGTTGCTCGGTGTCTTGCCTCAGTGGGTTCTAAGTTTTCAGATTCAAGGACCAAAAGTTTGCTGAAAAAGTGTTTCCTGTAGCATTGCTTGGTGACTGAGACAAAACCACAGCACCCCCTTCCCTGGCAGTGCCGAATCTGACTCCCCAAGGCCTCGGAGGGAGGGAAAAGCAGGGACCTGGGCCTGAAATAAGTGTATTTACAGGATGAATAACCTCAGTCACATAGTCCACGTAGTCCAGGGATCTTCCAGTTTCAGCTGCTTCTCTTGTAGGGAAAAATCTGCTCCCAAGAACTCTCCCCTCCTAGAGGAGTAGAAGCAGGCTGTATGCTCCCGAGAGGGGTTGCAGTGGGGTGGGGGTTGTTGGCTGGTTTAATTCTAAGCTTTTCCAGGTACGACTGTTGGAATCCACCCACAGGTGCACCTTCTTGCAACAAATCTGACAATCTTATGGCAGGAAGTTCAAAATTCCCCATTACTGAATTTCATTCACTTCACTGTGCTGTGAGTTTGAGGGGAAATCCTGAAGCTCTGAATTTTAGCAATAGTTCACAGCAGCTTTCAGATGGAAAAGAACACTAAAGGTCTCTGGGCCAGCCCTGGGCTCACCACAGCGTGAGCACCAGTGCTAGGTCAGGCTGCTCATTGCCTTCCGCAGCCACGTCTGGAATATCCCTGGTAGCTATGACTTCCCCACCACCTTCTCCAGCCTGGAGCTGGACAGGGTTTCACTTGGGATTGTGGGTGAGGGCTGCAGTCTCTAAGGACGCAGATACCTGCACGGGAAACCGGGAGAGAGGTGCTGTTGTGCTCTTTGTTCCTCGTTGGTACCCAGGCAGTGATGTGGCCAAGGCTTGAGACTAATGAAAGGGGCACAGGCTGAACTGGTGGGGTAAGAGAGCAGTTTAAGACAGGGACACTCAGGAAAAGGATGTTTTGTAGGGAAGGAGGAGTAATGGAAACCGGACAAGGAAAAGTCTGGACCAGCTGAGCCAGGTAAAGAGGGTAATGCAAGAACAAGAGGAAAGTTGGGGATGTAGCGACGGTTGTGTGAACAGATTTTACAACCAGGAAGGATTAGTAAATTGTACCTTGAAGGAAAAGAGGAGCTGGTGTGGGAAATAGGGCAGGGAGCTCACAGACTACCAGTCTGTACAATGAAGAGCAACCACCCATCACTCTCCCTTTCTTCATTACGGCAGTGTGAATAGTTTTAACTGCTCTGGCCCTACAAGCACTAACAGGACAAATGCAGGATGGTTTTTTTTCCCTAAATCAAAGATCATTCCATATAACTCCTTTAATTAAATGCTGACATCATCACCTTACCTTAGATACCAGTTCTTCACACAGCCGTGCTGCCACCATTTCCTATGGAGAGCTACTATCGTACATTCTCCACGATTCCCTCTCCTCTTCCGCGCACCTGACCTTGCTCCAGCTAGCCCTTGTCACCACTCCTGCACAATGACCAGGAACCAGCACGGCCTTACCCACAGCAGCGATCCTCAGACTGGTGCAAGACGATATGCAGCCAGCTCGTAGTCTTCCTGCCAGCGGGCACAGCTTTTTTAGTGTTAAATTTCATCTGCAACCAAGTCATACATTAACCCAATTTGGTTCGGTTCCTTTAAATTGAACCCTTGGTATTGAACCTTGTCCTTGAGGCATCAGCTTCGTTCACCCATGGCTCAAGTCATACCAAAACCTTTATGCAGAAAGCAAAGCGCTACTGGGAGGGATCCTCCTCCAAAATGATTTGGTGAGCAGGTGGGGACGAGAGGCAAATTCAAGCCCCAAAGATTCCTGAGAAATGAGTCGGTTGTTCTAGTTTTAATAATCGTGTCTCGCAATTTGCCCACTTCATATGTGCAGAAATTTCTCGATCATGCCAGGAAGCTTCTTCAAATATAGGTGTTCTGTTTGCTCCTCTCCCATCACTCACTAAAGTGACTGGTTTACTTGGAAGTTCTGTATGGTACCTAGTGACTTATCTGCTTCATCCCTTCTTCCAGCACCTCTGGTCCTAAAATCTGAATTTTCTAACAGAAAACTGCAGCCAATCTCAGCAAGCAATCTCTTCAGACTTTTCTGCCAGGGAGTCTTGATGAAAAAAAAAACAACCCACAAACATAGTTTTTCAAAGCCTTTGTCATCTTTAATTGCTTTTTAAGAGGTGGTGACTCAGGATACCCATCCAGCCTCCGCAGGCCTTAGCACTGTGTGGTGCGTGGGACCGAGCCATACCTACTTCACTGGCATCTCTAGCAGTACCCGTTCCCTGAAGCAATTGTTTAAGGTATTAGGAAATTGCTTCTCTCTCAGTGTCACTGCAACGTTCAATCAGTGTCTTTATGGGGCAGCTGAAGGTGTGAATCATAAAACTGTGCTGGTTTTAAACCAGTATTTGATTATGTCCCAGGAAAGGAGAAAGGCCTCCCCCTGTTATCCAGAGGAAACCTGTTGCCTTTCCAAAAGACCTCCGGTGGTTCCAGGACACAGGGAACAGGGGCGTGCCTAACGCTGCCAGGAGAGAACACCGCTCTCCCGTAGGATTCCGGGAGGGAAGGATGCGACGCACTGAACGCTGCCAACTCCCTCGCTCTCTGCAGAGCAAATCCCACGCGGCGGCTACTGCCTTCGCGCTGTCTGGGCAGACAGCTAGAAGGAGCTACCCCAAAGAAGCGATTTTGTCTCGGTGGCTCTCTGAAATCTGTTCCTCTCTCGGGACGAGAGGATTGAACTCAACGGGCTATAGCATGAAGATTACGCTGCTTCGAAGGAGGCAGCATCTTCCTTCCACCACGGAGTGAAGGTGCCAGGCTCGGCAGCAGCTCTGTCCTGCTCCCCAGGCTGGCTGATCTCTTACCAGATAGAGGTTCTTGAGTTTGGGAAGACTGAGCCCTGCTGTGCTCTCCAGCTTGTTTTCTCGCAGCTCCAGGATTTGCAGACTGAACAATTGGCCGTGACTCAGGCCCAGCGCTGTCTGGATTTTATTTCCTGCGTGCCAAAGAAGGAAGAAATGCTGAGCGAGTTGATCCCACCCAAAGAGAGCATCCTGTGTGCACGAGAAGGAAGGGAGGTGGTCTGTATCACCTCTCAGGCTGAGGTTGGCTAAGCGGGGGTGAGTAATGCCCTCCACATCCTTGATGCGGTTGCGAGCAAAGCTGATGACCTGGAGGTAGGGCAGCTCCTGCATGCAGGCACTGGTAAGCAGATTCCCATCCACCTTCAGCCAAAGCAGGTGGGTTAGGCTGCTCAGTGGAGACAAATCCTGCAGTTTGTTCTCTGACAAATCCACATACCGCAGGTGAATGAAGCATTTGAGGAGGCCGATGTCTGTCAAGTGCCTGTGGGAAGGAGGATGTGAATAAAACATGCCCCACATTTCCCCCTGCTATCAGCTTTCAGTCTGCTCCTCATCACTACTGGAGGGACGGCATCCTCCTCTCCCACTTCCCTGCTGTCCTTGGAAGCCTTGCTGGAGAGAAGGAGGAAAAAGGCAGGCAGCAGAGACAGCCCAAATACACTATAAACAAGGCTGAATGGTAAGATGGGACCCACTTTCCTGGCTCGGGGAGTACTTCTTCCCATTGAACTGTAGCTGACAGCAGAGGGCAGAACCAGAGCAGAAAAGTCTGTCTGGGCAGCTGGGTCTGTTAGTAGTGGTAATACCACGAATTGTGGGGATGGATTTTCCTAGTAGGAAAAAGATACACATGAGGCTGCTGAAAAACAGTCTTACTGATGCCTGTAGGTTAGGTGTAGGGTTATGTGGGTGTACTGATGGGGTTGAGGCTCCAAACTGTCCCCAGGCCGTTGTGGCACTGTATTTACAAGCACATGCCTTCAAGGTTAGCGGGTAACAGGAGAAATGTTTAATGGGTATTTCTTGAAATGACTACGGGGAGGTCAGCCTGTTCAGGTCCCCCTGGAGACAGCACTCCAGAGGGATGGACGGGCTCCCCTCAATCCGGGGGGACACAGACGTTCCCACCAGTGTGCCTGGCTATGGTGGAGGCAGTCCCCAGCTCAGGGCCAAGGATGGACAAGGTATGGCACAGACTGGAAGCCGGACAGCCACAGGACATGGCCTGGAAACGCTCCTGCCCCAGGTGGTCAGTCACCTTACGGCACGGGGCAGATGCCCGGGGCAGGAGGAGCAGGAGGCCTTCTCCTGGGGCAGGTGTTACTCACTTGCATTTGGCTTCAAACTTCACGTAGGCGTGGGCCAGACCATTGCCGGTCTTACAGAGGAGAGAGAGGCCCTCCTTCAGCATGTCCTGCGTGAGGGGGCAGGGGGCCGGCACCTGGGAGAGAAGGAGAGAGCACAATGGCCGCGCTGGCCTAACCTCAGCCAGAGCGTGCTGCGGCCCCTTCCCTCACCTGTTCTTCCTCCGCCTCCTCCGCCTCCTCTTCCTCTCCCTCCTCCTCTTCCTCTCCCTCCTCC